GTATCTAAAAGGGTATCACAAGGAGGATGGAGAAAAATTGTTCTCCTTGGCCTCTGATCATAGGACAAGAATCAATGGACTTCAAATGCAGCAAGGGAGGTTTAGGTTGGACATTAGGAAAAACTTCCTGTCAAGGTGGTTAAGCACTGGAATAAATTGCCCAGGGAGGCTGTAGAATCTCCATCTCTGGAGATATATAAGAGCAGGTTAGATAGGCATCTATCTGGGATGATCTGGACAGTGCTTGGTCTTGCCATGAGGGCAGGGGACTGGGACTCAACCTCTCAAGGTCCCTTCCAGTTCTAATTTTCTATGATTTTAAGATAGATACTCACAGGTTCTGACTGTAATGACCTTGCAGCACAACTGAGCCAGTCTGGAATCCAAGACCTGAAGCTGAAATACTGTGTCCCATTCCTCTACTCCACATATCCTCCTAATTGATTTAGGCTCAAGATATGTCTACATAGGGATTTTAAAAAACCTGTGGCTGGCCTGGTCAGCTGACATGGGCTTGCCGGACTCAGGTTGTGGACTGCGAAACTGCAGTATAAACAGCTGGTGACACTGTTGGGAGGTGGGGGCAGGGAGGAGTCCTCCTCTAAGCTCAGGCTTTGGCCTGAAAGTCTACACAGCGATTTTTAGCCCTGCAGCCTGAGCCCCATAAGACAGCTTATCCAGGCCAGCCACAGTTGTGCTGCAAGTCTTTTCTCTGTGTGTAGACTTTAAAAACACAGTATTTGCCACTTGTGTGTCTGCACTTCAAAAAATCAAGAATAAAACAAAAATCAGTTGCACTCTCAGGACCATACTTGAGCATATGGAAGTTTGAATTAGTACAGAAAATACCTACTCACCTTTTAAATAAGGCAGCTCGGCCTGATGAACCCAGTTCCTTTGCTCTGTAACTTGGACTAGCTGATTGCCCATTTTTGGATGTGATTCAAGGTGTTGATTATCTACAAAACTCTCAGTGACCCAGGACTTAGCTATCACTAAGGCTACAATGTTTTGCACAGAGCCTGCAGAATCCATGATTTCCAGCAACCTCCATGAATTCAGCTCTTGGGGATGGGAGCTGCAAGTAGGGTTGCCAGATGATTTCAACAAAACTACTGGATACACTTGACATTACATCACAATCTACATTGCATCTTATTTAGAAAATACCGGACATTTCTATTTTAACAATTTGTTTCCTCAAATAGAAAGCTCAAATACTGGACTGTCTGGTTCAAAACTGGACACTTGGCAGCCCTAGCTGCAAGATACCCCCAGCTGCAGCAGATGCCAGTGTCACAGTTCCCCCTGGAGCTCTTAGCTGCCATGGGGTCCAACCAGCGCTCCCTACTGCCACAAGCAGCAGCAAAAGCCTGGAACAGGCCTCTGCAGCTGCCTAGCCTCTGCAGGCAATGTGGGGATCCCATAGCTAAGCTTTCCATTTTGTCTGGGATATTTTTAGTAAGTCACAGAGAATCATGGGCTTCCATGAACTTTTCTTTATTGCCTGTGACTTATTAAAAATACCCATGATAAGGCAGATTTTAGCAATCACCTCTCACTCTGTCCCCCATTGCAGCAGCAGCTACATTCCATCACAAGGTTGTCTACAAGGCTGACCTCAAGGGGAGCAGCCATTTCTGATGGAGAAAATTCCGAAGTGAAGGACTTTCCTTCAGATTCATCAGAGCACAATTCTGGTAATTTTAGGGACACATTCAACTCTGATGTGCTTAATTGGCTGTGCTGCCAAAGTGTATTTATCCCACCACAGGTACACTGACTTACTCATCCAAGTCAATTGTTGGCAACAGTTTTTAAAAATCTTTGCAACATATTGAGCCAATACAGAGTGTCTTTCTTTGAGTGGCTCATCTCTTTCTGGGGGCTGAGTTAGTGCTTGGGGAAGTACAGAAGGCAATGTCTAACAATGCTGTTCAAAGCCAGCACAGTCATGGGGGCAGGGACACAATTTCCTTTCCTACACTAAGCAAGGAAACTGGTGCTGGGACACTGGATTTACATCTCTTATCCTTGCAATAGCACACCTAGCACATCCACATACTGTGCACTTTACAACCATTGAACCAGCTACATTCAGCGATTCTGAAAGCAACTGTTATGTAATGCCCCATACCAGAGAATCAGGACTTGGGGGTAACTACCAATTACAAAACACTGTACAGGCAGTCCCCGGGTTACGTACAAGATAGGGACTGTAGGTTTGTTCTTAAGTTGAATCTGTATGTAAGTCGGAACTGGCGTCCAGATTCAGCCGCTGCTGAAACTGATCAGTCTGGACACCAGTTCCGACTTACATACAGATTCAACTTAAGAACAAACCTACAGTCCCTATCTTGTACGTAACCCGGGGACTGCCTGTAAAT